TTGAAAAATCTCACCTTGTTCCCTTCCTTCTATTACTGTGACCCCAAGGGCTGGGTCAAGAGCCACTAAGCGCGTTGACTGCTGTGCAGTCAGCACTCTGGTCTGGATTTCCTTAAAAGGCTCCATACCCCATCTCCTTCTCTACCTCTCTGGAGAGATGTTTTAATGCAGAAGGAATAAAAAGCCTCCTTATTGATTACTTTAAAAATGTATGGGCAGAGGCTTAATAATGATTTGGTAAATGTTCTTCTCCGATGGGATGCCCACAAAACAATAGTCAGCTCTACATTTAGAGCTCCGTTTCTTGAAAACAGAACAACTGTGCAAGACTTTTGTCTGTACAGACACACGGCGCAAGAGAAAGGAGATCAAAAGAAGGGGGTCTGGCAGCCTGGAACAACAAGATAGCAGGAGTCAGGCCACCTGAATCACCTAGTCTTGGAACAGGGGTGGGCACTAGACAGCCACCTGGTTTTAAGTACTGTGCTCCCACCAGGCTGGGGCTTAGGCTCCTCGGTATGAAGCAAGGTTAGCTAAGGCCTCCACCAAGCTCCCCAGTGTCATGACTCTTCAACTCACTCTTCCAGGGGTGGGGAACCTTTTTGTCTGCCAAGGGCCATTTGGATAGTTATAAATAACACCACCTGTGGGTCATACAAAATGATCAACCTAAAAACTAGCCTGCTACATTTGGCCAGTGAAACCCTGGTGGCACAGAGGTTAAGCACTGACCTGCTAACCGTGAGGTCAGCAGCTTGCTCCTCGGGAGAAAGACAAGGCTTTCTACTCCCGCAAACAGTTACAGTCTCGGACACTCACAGGGCAGTGGTATCCGGCCCTAGACGGTCACTATGACTCAGAATTGACTCTATGGCAGTGAGATATTTGGTCAAGCTTGAATTAACTCACCCCAATATGATGGCTTCTCTGTAGGGAGGTGTGTGATGCTAGCTGGTGATCCCTCAGACCTAACGTGGCCCATGGTCCAGGTGCCCCAACCTATGCACTATTCTAACACAACTCTCCCATGCTGTCACTTCTCTGAAGCACCTCATCAGAAGGAAAATGGGTCAGGGAAAATATTAAGGTTCTTATGTCTCCTTAACATTTCTTAAGATCATTTAAGTCTCATCCAGAATACAGACGTATATCAGAAAACAAAACTTTCATCAGCCCTCAGTGCTTATGATGCTTTCATGCCAACTCACGCCTAAAAGGGCAGGCCACCAAGCTGTTCAGTCCAAGTGAGCACAGCTCCAGGAAGGGGTGAATGACCCCCAGTGGGGAATCATGGAGGAAGAATTCCAGAGCTGGATGCACAATCAGCCTACCTCACCTCTAAGGGACCTTGCAGACACACTAGAATTTGGCCTTGTATCAGTACGAAAGATCTCGTGGTTTGATGATGCAAATGATGCAACTGAAACTTGATCTCAAGATAGCTTGATGTTTCTCTGTGAAGTTAAAATACCATCATCCACTCTAAGACTCTCTCTAACCACACCTAACTCTAACCTCATGGATGACATGGGACCTGTGGGTGGTTGAGCATCCAGCTACTGACCAACAGGTTGGTAGTTGACTCCACCCAAAAGCACCTCAGAAGGATATCCTGGGCATCCACTTCCGGAAAGTCACCATCACGGAAAACACAGTTCTCTAACTCACGGGGGGGTTCCCTTGACATAGAATTGACTCAAAGTCAACTGGCTTGGCTTTGGGCTTTTGTTTGTAAATATACTGATGGCAGGTACCCACATTGGCTCAAATGATGACTTCCTATCCTAAGCACACAAACCAATACATAAACGATATACTCCTTCCTGCACTGAGTTCCTTCCTGATCTGACTCTTGGAAGCTCCTCTGTGTTCACATCCTCTCCCTGTAGCTTCTGCAGCAAAGCAGCTTAGCCCAAGACACCTCAGCACGTCAATCATTTTCAGCTCTGGTGGCATAGCGGATTAAACATTGAGCTACCAAGCACAGGGTCAGTTGTTCGAACCCACCAACTGCTTCTCGGGAGAAAGATGGGGCAGTCTATCCCTATAGAGATTTAAAGGCTCAAAAACCCCAAAGAGCAGTTCTACTCTGTCCTAGCGGGTCACTGGGAGTCAGTACTGAATTGAGGACAACGAGAATATAAACACTTTCCAATCATGCCAGAAAATTGAGTTGGAATTTCAATGGAGTTAACTGCATAACTTATTATAAAATGTTCTGTAGCATTTTATATCAATGTACAGTTGTCAGAGAGGACACAAAAACCAAGGTGGCACCTTCCTCTCACAGTGACACTGGGGCCTTCTCGGTGTATCCACTGAGAGTCAAACACTGACCCAGAGCCCTACTTTGTACCAGCTGCCGCGCGACGTGCTTTCATCTAGATGGACGTTTGAAGTCTCATGGGCGCTCCGGGCACTAAAATATCATTAACTCCATTTTGCAAATAAACTGGGTTTCAGAGAGAGTAAGTGGGCTGCCCAAAGCCTTCTGCTTTCGAGACTTGCATTCTTCCCGTGACGCAGTAAGGTGCCGAGGTCCACAGTCTGAAATGCATCAGGAGCACAGTCTACCCTGCCAGTGCTGAACTTGCTCATCCAATGCACTCTAACCCTGTAACACAAAAGGCATTGCTAAAGAAATGTTCACTGGAGCCTGCCTGGGATGTGCACACTGACTTGAAAGAAGAAAAAAGTGTGGATTTTGTTCATATAAAATTTCAAAATAATGTAACCACATTTAACACATACATCTTCTTTAAATCAAGAAAAAGAGATCAAAATTAAATACACTTAATTTTTATATTTCGCACTCTTTACCCACTGATGGAGATGCAAAGGGTGGATCGTACCTGACCTAAAGGATGGCAAACAAAAAGAAATGCTGGCTAAGTCATAAGCAGACAGGAAATCTCTAAATAACAGGTCTGGCATAAGTAACCAGTATAATTTGCCAATTTATCTCCCAGGAAGATTTAAATCCTAAATTAGAAACAGAGCAATTTTATACCTCTGGCTAAAGTACCAACCTATTTAAGCATTGGTATAATCAGATCCTTAAGCCACAACTTCAGAAACAGGAAGATATCCTCACAGAACAGAATAGGACGTTACAGAGTGAAGGGCTAGAAGTGCCTTTGGTGACCATGTAATCTGACACCCTCACTGCAAGGTCTGCAGTTCGAAACCAGCAGCCGCTCCTCGGGAGAAAGCAGCAGCTTTCTACTCTCATAAAGAGTTACAGTCTCGGAAACCCAAAGGGGCATTTCCACCCTGACCTCTAGGGTCACTGTGAGTCAGAATCAACTCCGTGGCAGTGAGTTTGGAGTTTGGGGTCTACCCTAGTGGCCAAGAAGGGAGCCCCATGACACTATCAGAAAAGCAAGGCGGTTCAAATCCACCAGCAATTCTTCAAAATAAAACTGAGCCTGTCTGCTCCCTGACAGATTGACAAAGCCTTGGAAACCCTGTATCGAGTCTCTATGGGTCAAAATCAAGTCAGTGTCAGTGGGCTTGGTTTAAGTTTTGGTCACCTAATCAAATACCGTATATACTCGAGTATGAGCCAACCCGAATATCAACCAAGGCGCCGGAAATAAACTTGGCTTATACTCGAGTATATATGGTAAGATACTCCAAGTCATCAACCGACATTAGTGCAAGAACTAAAGCGAGGTTTCCAATGTCCTGTTCCCAGCACACGCCACCATCGTCAAAACTACATCAGCGGAACAACCGAAAACCTCGTGGGATTCGGCTCCTCGGTCTAAAGGCTTAGGGTCAAGGTTTCATAGGACGTCCCAGGTAGCATGTATAGTGCCTCTGTTCGATTTCCTAGTTCAATTAATAAGTGTCTGGGGTCTTCCAAGCTTACAAGCACTTATCCAACACACAGCTGCTGTTCTCCATTCGCCTAGGACAGCTGGGGAAGACAGAGCGTGGTGAACAAGAGGAAGATGTGCAACGTGCACCTCCTGGCCTCCAAGGACAACTGTCTCTTTTGCCATGAAACCAGAAGGACTGGATGTTGTCCATTCATCATCACTGAACATGGTGATCACTGATTCCATGGACCGATTCTGATCAAAGGGGAAATAATGAACACAATTTGCAATTCTCAGAGACTCAAGACTTCTGGATCCATGAGGTTGGGTGAAACGACTGCCCTAAGAGAATCTTTGTTAAAAATGTCTCATTCATAAATAGATCAGCACATCTAAAATATGTGTAGTATCTATCACTAGGAAAATGGATGGCCCACGTTTTATTTTAGCTAATTAATAAATATAAAAATAATATGCCCATACATAAAAATGTTTTGTATTTGAATTAAAGTCAAATCTATATTTGAATGCAAAAAAAAAAAAATCTCCCAAAAAACCTCCCAATCCCCTGAAGTCTTCTTAAAACCAAACACTAGTTTAGCTTACTTAGTTTAAAATGTCTAGCTTGAGCATTATGCTTTAAAAAAAAAATCTACATGGGATCAAAGGGAGGACATCAACTCTACTTGGAAGATTAGAAAGAAGCCCTGGGAGAGAGCAAATTTCTGTTACCGAGGAAAGAAATAACTGAGAAATGATGAGAAGAATCTAATCAATGTCTGTCAAAGGTACCTGCAGAAACTGTTGAATGGGTGTATGATTTTTTCTGAGTGTATCCTCCACACAACAAAATATATTATGTTCTATAATGAAAACCTCCATCAGAGAAGATTTGTCAGCGCTCAACCGGGCTCATAACCCACAAATAGGTGTTCCGTGTGTATGGTGATCCAGGAAGTCACACCAAATAGACTAACGCAAGCCTGCCAAGTCCGCCAACAACCTCGGACGTTTACCCTGCCTCCTTCCACAATTCAAGTTACTCTTTTTTCTTACTCATTTACTTGCACCCGTATACACCAGCCAAAATGCCTTTAACATATATTCCGTGCACAGATTCCCCAACGAGAAATGCAAAAGCAAACAGCGTGAAATGAACGAGAAGGGGGCGAGTACCTTGCCCAGAAAGCCACCTCCGGGCTGCCTTGGGTATAGATGGCGTAACCGGCGTCATTCAGCCCGTTGGCGATCCCGCTAGAATAGCCCATCACTATGCCGCCATCTGCCGAGACACTCAGGATATCGTGCTGTCCCGCCCCTGATGTCCTCTCCAAACACGGACCGCCTTCTGGAATGCGCTGCTGTATCATGGGTGTCAGGGGCAGGTCGAAGCTGAAATAGCTCTCAGGCTCGGAGTACAGGGTCTCCAGGGACTCGGCACTGTAGTACAAGGACGTGTTGTCCAAGATGGTTTCAAACTGGGAGCTGTACACGTCAGTGGAGTCCTCCGCATACCCGGACCCCAGGGCATCCTCTTCCCCTGCCCCGCCGTGCTCCTCCTGCCAGGGGATCCTGCAAAGAAACAAGAGTTACTAATGCCAGTATGAGAGCATCTGGGGTGTTGGTGTTCAGATTTGTTTTTAATGTTCATTGTGAGTTAGGTGAAAGCGTACAGAGAAAAGCTGTGTTCCTTTCAGCAAGTCACACACGTTATGCTTTATGTCACTGAGTGCAACCCCCACCATGTGACAGCATCGGTCTCATGTCCTCCTTGGTCTTTCCATGTCCATCCCTCTTCCTTCCCTAAGTCGTAATGTCTTCAGAACACTGTCCTTAGCCAATGGATCTAAATGGTGGACTCGTCTAAGGGGCATGCGCCCTTCATGTGACCATTCACCTTACAGACCTGTCTATTGTACGGCAGAAAATTGAGGCGTGCTTGTGAGTTCAGTTTCAGACCTGGAAGGTGACCAAAAGTCAGAGTCCCCAGGGATGCCACCAGCTTACTTAACCAGTAAGCCTCTTTTTTGTTTCTTTCACGAATGTTAAATTTTTTCCTCACTCAATCTCAGACCATCTAATGTGATCCCTCACAGAGCAGTGGCAGATGGGCACCATCTAGTTCGTCTCCTGGGTCACAGAAGCTGAAGTTGGTGCGATAATCCACTAGCCTGTTTATTTCCATGTGCCTTTGATTGTTCTTCATTCTTTGATGCAAACAAGGAGAGACCAAATTTTTAAGTCCCTACTGATAGAATTGAGAACAATGTCTCTGTGGGCTTTGTTATGCCAATTGATCTAAGGGTCCCCTAAGCCTAGCAACTCACTCAAGCTCTTTGGTTAGGGTTCACTCCCTCACTCCCTGCCGTCAAGTCAGTACTGACTCCTAGCGACCCTTATAGGACAGGGGGGGAACTGCCCCTGTGAGTTTCCAAGACTGTAACTCTTTACAGGAGTAGAAAGCCCAGTCTTTCTCCTGTGCTTATGGCTATTTTTTCTTTTTCCTTTTCCCCCATCAATCTTCTTTAAAAAGGTATCATTCTTAAAATAATAATAATTCATAAATTATCAAGGGCTCAGGGGGAGTGGGGAGTGGGGAGGGAGGGAAAAAATGAGGCGCTGATACCAAGGGCGCAAGTAGAAAGCAGGTGTTTTGAAAATGATGATGGCAACAAATGTACAAAAGTGCTGGACACAAATGACGTATGTACGGATTGTGAAGAGTTGTACGAGCCCCCAATAAAATGATTTTTTAAAGGTATCATTCTGTACAACTAACACTTGCATTCACCAGGCTTCTGTCTTAATAACATATTTGGGGACAATGGAAATATGGTCAAGTGCTACACTGCCCTATAAAAAACTTATCATACTTTCTCTCAAATAACATGCACTTTCTATGTATGCTTGCCGACTGTTCTCTCCCTTGGGGAGGCATTTTTATATGGACAGCTTTGCCAGTTTTTTCCACGTGTTGTTATAAAAAATAATAAGCCCAGCACATTTACAAAAACACCTTCCTCAGAAATGGACCAGTTGGTAAACAACTGTAGAAGCGGAGTGTTATTGGGGTGAAAATACGGTGATACGGTTTCACACTGGCTTCTGAGTAGGTAAAGACATCTAATGAATATTTGAATAAAATATAAAATTCATATTTTAGCCAACTAAAGCCCACAAACTCAGACTGTCAACTGGCACCATCCCTCTTCGCTGTGTGCTGCTGTAGAAGCTGACCCTCACAGCCGCCTCTATCGGGAGAAGCTTTACTGTGCCCGGTGGGATTGCTGTGAGCCAGAATCGGCTCCGTGGCAGTGGGTCTGCTTGGGTTTACCATCACTCTTAATGAACATCTACATAACGTAAGCCCCGCGGAGTGAAAATGCACTGAACTGTCATCGTTCTACGACTCAGATTTAAGGTAAGCCAATTGCCCTGAAGAGAATGACTGTATCAGAATCCAAGACTGCCCCCTGCTGACAAGAGGTCACGCTGCATCAAGATTTCCTTTCAAACTTACCCAGTGGGGAGTCCTAAAAACACAGGCACAGGGCACGTTTCTCTATTCTTCACTGCCATCGAGTCAATGCTGACTCACAGTGGCTCTGTAGGATAGGATAGAACTGCCCCTGTGAGTTTCTGAGGCTGTAACACTTTATGGGGCCAGAACAGTGGTTCTCAGCCTCCCTAATGACATGACCCTTTCATACAGTTCCTCATGTTGTGGTGACCCCTCAGTCATAAAATTATTTTTGTTGCTACTTCATCACTGTAATTTTGCTGTTATGAATCAGGCGACCTCTGTGAAAGGGTCGTTCAACCCCCAAAGGGGTCGTGACCCACAGGTTGAGAGCCACTGTACTAGAAAGTCCCGTCTTTTCTCCTGCAAAGCACCTGGAGGTTTTGAACTGCTGACCTTATGTTTAGTAGCCTGCTGTGTAACCACTAGGTCACCAGGGCTCCCCTGTGTAACCAACAGAGTGGAAAATCTAGAGACAACTTGCGAAGTAAGAAGTAAGGAAAGGGCACTGATTCTGGCACATCAATCTGGAAAATTAAAATAAAATCTTATTCAGACATTAACGATGGGCATTATAACTAAGAAACATTGAAAGCTCAAGTCACAGCTAGGACAATGGCAAGAACGAGCAAGGCATGCGGCATTAGGAAACATCTGGACCTGAACTCTGGCTGTGACAATTGCTAGCCATGTCACAGTAGACAGCCTACCCTCTCGGAACCTGAGATTCCATACCTAGAAAATAAGAAGGCAGCAAACAGCCTGCCTCATAAGTAACCCATATCCCCAGCTATTACCAGGATTCACAGCCAACATTCACGTCATTACTGTTTGGAAATTACTGAAGGTGTACCATGCACCCAGTAGTATGAAATCTTGAACAACGAAGCTTTGAACCGTGCAGGTCCACTTATACGTCAATTATTATTATTATTATTATTATTACTGTATAATGCTAATCTCCATGCAAGCAGTTCATCTCTCCTGTAAATTGTGGATTTCAGAGAGAAGGGCTCTCTTAAAGTCCCTGCTTATTTTTCATGGCATTTAGTGCGGTGTCATAAACCTTGAATGGCACAGTGGGACACATATCAAGTGCCTCTAGTGACACAGGAAGGGCTCCCCAGGAGCAGAGAAAAGTCGTGACACTAGACGAGCAAGTTAAATTGCTGGCTTTGTACCGGGGATTGAGGTCAGCATCTACGGTTGCCCAACATTTCAAAATAAGTGAATCCGGGGTCAGGGCGGCTGCAAAAACAACACAGGAAAGCCACGTAGCTGCTGACACTCCTCCTACCAGGAGGAGCAAAAACCTTGCACTTTTTGCAAAATATCCTTTTACTCTCCTGGGGGAAATGCAGATTTTATATAAAATCCCTATATAAAACAGATGACACACAAAACGTGTGTCTCTGTTACTGCTAAGGCTTGTTGCTGTTAGATGCCGCCAAGGCCATTCGGACCATAGAAACCTTATGTTCAACAGAATGAAGCGGGCCAGCTTGCAGCAGCCTCACAGTTGTTACTGTGTTTGAGCCCACAGTTGCAGCCATGGTACCAATCCCTCCCCTTGAGAAGGCTTCCTCTTTTTCACTTACCAAGCACAATGGCCCATCCCAGGGACTTGCGTACATACATAAGATGAATACTTTCAATATTCTTTGGTCTTCCTTAAGATTCCTGGTCAACAGCCCTTAAGTTTATTGGGAGTCAGGATAGATGTGGATTTTTGACTGTGTGGTCCGGGGCTGGAGGGGGGCGGCGGGCGTGGTGGAGGGGCGAAGAGGGCAAGCAACCTTCACCACTCCCTTCACCCCTAGTTGTTCAAGGTCAACTGCACTTAGAATAAAACGGAAAATTCTTACCAGTTTAGCAAGTTCCTGTGATGCTGCTTCTCCCTGCCTCTGCAGACACATTCCACCCCACGGTCCCCAGCTCCTTATGTTCCCACCACAGCAGGGGCTGCAACTCTTCAAACATGCCGAAGGGCGTCTCCCTCACTCCGCTCCAAGAAGGCACAGTTGATCCAGAATCCAGCAGCCCTCCTTTGGACAGTTCATTCCCTCTGCCTAACATGTTCTCCCTGCCTGATGAACCTTACTCGTTCTTCAACCCACTCCCAGGGAGTCAACTCCTATAGACACTATATCCCAGCGGTGGGGAACCTTTTCTTCTGCCAAGGACCATTTGGATAGTTATGACATCATTCAAAGGCCTATACAATTATCGACCTAAAAGTCAGCCTGCTACATTTGGTGAAACATCTCATTAACTCGCCCCTGATATGATGGCTGGAACGGCTTCTCGCTGGTGAGGTGTGTGGTGTTAGCTGGTACTGATACTTTCATAGGCCTCAGATGGCCCCAGAGGAGCCCTGTGGTGGTATGGTTACGAGTTGGACTGAGATCTGCGTGGATCAAAACCACCAGCAGCTTTTGTGGGAGAAAGACTGGACTTTCTAATCCCACAAACAGTGACAGACTCAGAAACCCACAAGGGGTCACTAATCAGTCCGCATGGACTTGAGGGCATTGCGTTTGGCTTATATGGCCCGAGGACGGGACGTTCCCACCCGCTGCATAGGGTGATGAGGCTATAGCTCTGTATGGGAACAGGCAATCTCACCTTCCTCCCATTGAGCAGCTGGTAGGTTTGAACTGCTGACTTTGTGGTTAGCAGCCCACAGTTTACCAGACAGCACCATCAGGGCTTCTTCTTCATTCTGCAAGCCCCAGTTTAATCACTAAGTCCACAGAAAGTCCTTTCTCAAGCCACTCACTGAAATGCATTTCTCCCCTTCTCTCCATTCAGAGTGTTCTTCCTAGTGCACCTGCTCCTTACCTCAGGAAACACTGGATCCTACACTTAGATTAATGCCTTTATGTGGTTTGTCTTCAGCAGTGCGGCCCACGAGGACCTGTCTGCACCTGTTTTGATCATTATTTTACGTCCAGCGTCTAACAGTTTCAAGGACATAGTAGACAAGCCCCCCACCCCACCCCACAAAAAAACACTGTGGAACCAAAGAAAGAGGAGGAGAAATGAATTCATATTCTCACAGCAGCAAAACGATCATGGCTCAGTGGAAAGGTTAATACTGAGCCATGGGCCACACATCAAAGCTGCTCTGGGGGGAGGGGGGGGCGGTCTCGAGATTGTATGTGAAGGGGGGAGTGGGTAGAGGGGCTGGGACCTGAGAGCCATCGTAAAGGAAGCTCACTCACAGTGGATTTTTTAACCGTAAAAGAAAGCTGAACCACAAACCGAAACCATTAGACTTGACACAGATGTTCTCCCATACAAAAGGCCACAAGAGATGGTACAAATTCAACATGACAATGACAGTGTACAACAAGCATGGGTGAGGCCGTCCATCTCGGCAGGGTTTTAAGCTGGGCCGCCTGTCAGAAATGTCGGGAATGCCGTAGGATGCCAACCACACTTCTCAGGACCATGAAACCAAACACACACCACATGTGAAAAGGACTTCCCATGTGAATGTCCCACAGCAACTGGATGTTAGACTCTGTCTCTGACTCTCTGCGATGTCTTTTCTAGACATAGAAAAACAAGGAGTCTTCGGCAGACCCTCTGTGTTCCTACATGCATGCAGGTCACAAAGGGGCTTCCGGCTTCCTATGACACTCCAGAGACATGCCAGAGTTAAGATGTCTTGACCATGGGAGCAGAGCAAGAGTGCAAACCTTGTCGTGTTATGACAGGCAATTGTGGAGTGGACTTAGGCCCTTGGTATTACAAAGCTTCAAATATGCCGAATGAGAATAAAATGTCAGAAATGGATTCACATCATTTAGTGTTCACCATGTCTCCGTAACTCTATCTCCCTCGTGCATGGTCACACTGGAAACCTCAGAAGGAAACTACAAAATGTCTAGCTGGCAATGACTTCTCTTCCATTCTCCGGGGCAAAGGGCCCAGTTAACCTGAACTGAGGTCTCCTACCAGACCACCACTTGTCTGTTATCTGCACTAGAGAGAGGGACAGGACAGGGGGCTCACCTGTCCTTGACTGGCTGTGGCTCAGATTCCTTCTCCAGATGCTCCTGGTTTTCCTTCAGGAAGACTTCATCCTCTCCACTCTCCACAAGAGGCATAGGGGAAAATGCCCCCGAGTTGGTGCCGGGCCTCTCAGAAGCTTTCCAGGTTTCAACACTCTTAGATCCAGCGACGGAATGACATACAGCAGCCGAGGAAATACGTTGGCTTGGCACTTTGGAGAGCTCCTGGCTTTGAGAAGAGGCTGCCCTTCCCACTGCCGGTGCCCCCTGGGCAGGAGGTCTGGCTCCGCTCTTCTCCCCTCCTGTCCACAATATCTCCACCCCTTGAAATCCCACATGTTTGTTTCTGCCTGGGCGTCCTGTGGCGCCGCCTTGATCCCCAGGCCTGGGATGCTCTTCCCCCAGATCAGGCCTCCTCTCTCTCAAATAGCCTACGCTGTCTGCAGAGCTGAGGCTGTCCGCAGTGGACACGGGCTCCTGCCCACGGAGAGCCCCTTTCCTCCCATGACTGCTTCTCTGGAAGGGCTCGGGCCAGGTTTCCCCGGTTAGCAGCGCAGTCAGATCCTTCTGGATGCTCAAATAAAAATTGTCCTCGGTTGGGACTTCAGCTGACAGAGGTCTCTCTGGTGGCTTATCTTGGCTGGCGGAGGGGACCCATTTGTTGGCACCCTGTGTTTTCTGACTGGCAGCATCCAGCTCCTTCTCCCCCTGCTGAGCTGACACATGAGACACGGCCTCTTTGTCCGGAACCTCAGCACTCTCGAAAGATCCTGATGTTATTTTGGTTTCGGGGGCTTTCAGAGCTGAAATCAATGAGTCAATGGGTTGTAAACTTTGGTCCTTGAGGTGACTCTGGGAGGGGGCTTCTCTGGCCTCTTTTGACCCTTCTGTGTTGCTGTGTTCTGTGTGGAGTCCAGAGAGGTGGCTGGCAGGAAACTGGGGCTCCTGCTGTCCTGGAGGGCAGCATGTCGGGGACTCTGCGTCCAACTCCAGGGAAGCTCTCAGGCCTTCTCCACTCTCCTCCATGGTCCCATATTCTGGAAACTCGTTCGTGACATTCGGTGGGAGTAAAGTGCTTCCTCCATGATCACCTACCGAGAGAACAAAATGTGCATGTGACTGACTGCCTTGGACAAGCACAAGCTCCACAGTACATTACTACAGTGTCCACAGTGGCCGCTGCTAGGTGCCGTCTAACCGACGGACACGCAGTAATTCCACTTTCTGGAAGGAAGGGTACAGGCACATCTGCTTCTTCAAAACTCAGGCAATGACAATCACCGGGCCACACCCAATCGTGGGAAAGGTGCTGGCCTGGACAGCGTTTCAGTTTGTTGTACAGGAGGTCAGCGGGAGTTGGGGGCTGGCTTCATGGCAGCTAAGAGAACCCCAAATATTCATTTGATTCTTTACCTATCTCTGCCCCGTCCACCACTCGCCACACACACAGGTCAGAAGCCCAATCAGGAAATCATGACTCGCTACCAACAGGAGAGTCATCATAAAGGCTGGGGCACAGAGGGAGACCATCTCATGAGACATGTATGTCATATGTACCCAGCTCCCGCTCCATGAGAATCCAGTCACCGGTTGCTTCACATGCAAATATATATACTATAATAAGGCTACCTAGCACCTTCCAAATATCACCTGTGAAAAAGGAACTGAAATATTTCCATTGAAATATTGCATTGCATTGCATCTTATTGTAACACCAAATAGCCTTATGACCAATGTAAGCCTTATGACCAACATATGACTAAATAGCCTTATGAAAGCGTTCACCCAGGGCAAGCTGCGAGAAAGGGACATAATCCATTGAAACTCAGTAAATATTTTTTAGGCCCAAAGTCTCTTGTTCACTGTTGTATTTCTGTGAGGGGAGAAAAGGTGGCAATATAACCTGACTGATACTAATGTTGTTTCACATTAAACCTTTAATGCAATTTTAAAGATATTTTCAAGTATAGTTAAATATTTCATTCCATGCTGGTAAGACTCCGGGAAGCACCTCTTCACCATGGCCATATCTGTGACTCCTGCATGGGGTGGAACTAACCGGATGTAGCTCGTTGAGGTCCAGTGAGGAAGCCACCTTTCAGACACTGGTTTTGAAAAGGATGACAACTAACAACAGCGAAGGTCCTCTTGCTGGGATGGCATAGTCATTTTTTTCTCCAAAATAAGACATGACTTTTAATGCCCCACCCCACCCCTTTCCAGGGTCTAAGGTAGTGGCTTTTAGTGGATTCATGAAGGTATGTGGTCACCACCACCATTTGTTCCCAGAGGATTTTCATCATCCTAAACAGAAACCCCATGGAGTCATGGTGGCAAGGTGGTTACACGTTGAGCTGCTAACCACAAGGTCAGCAGTTCGAAACCACCAATCACATCACAGGAGAAAGATGAGGCTTTCTACTCCCATAAAGAGTTAGTCTCAGAAACCTACAGGGGCAGTTCTACCGATTTGATGGCTTGGAGTTTGGTTTGGTTCTAAACGGGAATCCCATACTCACTTGTAGTTGCGCCCCATCCTTCCCTCTCTTGGCTCTGGGGTACCTGGAGTCACCATGACTCGAGAGCTGGCCCCAAGGCTCCGCTAATCTACTCTCTGTTTCTGTGGCTTGGCCTATTCCGAGTATTTCACATAAATAGATGAGACTACATGTGGCCTTCTGCACTTTCTTCCACTCAGCATGAGGTTTTCAAGACCCATCCATGTAGCACATGTCAGAACTATTTTCATCTGACAGCTAAGAAAGATTTCCATGGCAAGGACATACCCCATATTATGTTTGCCTGGTCCTCAGTCGATAGACATGTGAGCTATTTTCACGATGAGCTATTATTAATTATGTTACTATAAAAATGTGAAAAATGTTATCTATGTATTTATGTTTTCATTTGTATCTCCTTCCACGATGAATAAGGCAAATGACAATAAAGGAGCGTCCTGGTGGTGCGGTGAGTTACAGGTTGAGGTGCTGACCGCAGTCAAGAATGCAATCACACTGGTCGGTTCTTGGGAGGAAATAGAAGGCGTTCTGCTCCAGTGATGACTGACGTACAGATTGGAAAACCAACAGGCACTTCTCCACTGTCCTAGAGAATTGCTATGAGTTGGCATCAATTCAACAGCAGTGGTGAGCGGGCTCAATAACTAATAAAGTTGAATATCCTATTGTATGCTTCTGGCCATTCCGTCTTTGAGGAAATGTCTAGTCACATCCTCTGCTCTTTTAAAAATCAGGCTATGTGACGATTGTGAAATTTTAGTTCTCTTCTTTAAATGTTATACGAGGGGGTGCTAAAAAGTTCATGAGGGAAAAAATCCATTATCTTTCGTTCCACCCTTCCATGACCGTTTTGAAGCTCCCTTGGGAGTTCTGTACCAGATACATCCTTCACAGATAGCCTCCCTCATTCTGTGGTGGGTCTTCATCTGCTTGATGGGGAGTATCCGTGGAAAAACTAAAGTGTTTGATTTCGAGGAAATCCAATTTATCTCGCTTTCTTGTGTTGCGTGTGCTGTTGGTACCATACATGCTTCTCAGACATGTTGGAGTAATGCAATGTAACAAGGATTTATTCATGATTTCCTCTACAAATTTTACAATGTTACCTCTTATACTTAGGTCACGGATACATTTAGTGTTAATATTTTTAATAACTTGTGAGGTGGGAATCCATTTTCATTCTTTTGCATGTTGTCACACTTGCCGGGTAAAAAAAAAACTTTATTCAGTAAAATCAGTTCTTTTTCAAGATTATTTTGAGTGCTTCTGGTCCCGTGTAATTTCGACATGGGTTCATCGTTGTCAACTTTGGCCCGAGGGGGCGGGGCACTACAACTCTGACTGAAATCGTGGTAAACGTGCGTCAGTACAGATGGCAGCGCCATCTTCACAGTGCTGATCTTTCTACCCCAGAGGACATGGGCTAGCTATCCATTTACTTTCACTTGAGCAATATTTCAGTTTCAGTTGACAGAGCTTACCCTACTCTTGTTAAATTTATCCCTAAATATTTTATTCTTTCTGTGTTCCTAGTTTGAGTTAAATTGTGTGCTTCATTTCAATTTCCAAGTGATCATTGCTAGTCTAAAATATGATGGCTGTATACTGATTTTAAATCCTGAAGTGACTTATGCCTTCTCAAGGTTTCTTTGTGTGACAACCCTAAGATTTCCAACAGATAAGATCATGACAACAGGGAATAGAAGTGTTTCTCCCTTTCTTATCTGCATGTCTTTTATTCCCGTCTCTTGCCTACCTGTCCTGACTAGAGCCTCCAGGATCAAGTTCAATAGAAATAACAGGAGCCAACATTTTCATCTTGCTTTGGTCCTTCCCCACCAAGTATTATGTCATCCATGCTATAATGATGATGTCATCCATGCTATAGTGATGATGTCATCCATGCTATAGTAATGGTGTCATCCATGCTACAGCAATGATGTCACCCATGCTATAGTGATGACGTCACCCATGCTATAGGGATGATGTTATCCCTGTTATAGTTCTCCTCTATCAGACCCCAGTGTTTCCTTCAGTTCCTAGCGTACTGAGTTGTCTTTGTTGTTGTCGTTTTATTTTTAATTATGATAAGCTGTAGGGTTACGTCAAAAGCATTTATGTCTACTAAATGATCATGTGGTTTTTCTCCTTTATTCAATTATGTGACTTATTATATCATTTGATTTTTGTGTAAATCACCTTGTATTTCTAGGATAAAAATCTTACTTGGTTCGTATATAATCCTTTTTATGTAACTACATTTAATGTGTTAGTATTTGGTGGGGGACAGGCTCATGCACCTATATTCATAAAGAATTTTGGTCTGTATTTCCTTGTGGTATGATTGTCTGATTTTGTTATTAGGGTAATATTGGTGAAAAACTGGGACATATTCCACAGTGACTTTTTATTTTAAAATTTTTAATACCATGTTCATACTTTTAAAAAACTTTTACATACCTTGACTTTTTTTTTCACATTTTATACCTTTTATTAAACTTTTAACAGGTTTTACTTCCTAATGATGCATAAAATTTCAGTTACCTCTGTAATTCAAAGCTATAATTTTAGTTGGAATGCAATGAAATTAATAAGTGAAACACCACAAAGAAATCATTTTTCTTCTCTAGTATAATAACTTGCTGCCATCAAGTCAGTTCCAATTAAGTGACCCTATATGACAAAGAAGATCTGCTTCTTTGGGTTTCTGAGACTATAAAACTTTATAGGGATAAAAAAAACTTCATCTTTCTCCAATACAGTGTCTGGTAGTTTCAAACTGCTGACCTTGCAGTTAGCAACTATGCCACCAGCGCTCCAACTTGAACTTCTTCCATTATGAAAGACATAGTGGAAGAGCCTAAAAGCTGAAAAAGAAATACCTAGTACACAGTGGGAAAATATTTCTTCTACATTTCATAGGGATTTTAAATTATTTTCCTAACTGGAGAAAAATTTTACAAAATCCAGCATCATAGAATATGAAAGTCCAGTGTTTGCAAGAGGTGGGGAGGGTGGGGGTATCTAAGAATCAGCTCATTAACCGACCATAATAATTCAAAACAGAGGTTCAGAGGAATCACACACTTTTCAGCATGATGCAAAAGAAAAAAAACACACATCAGAGCTTTATATAACTCTGCCTCCACTAAGCTTCATGGCCCTCCCCTTTTCTCGGTCTTAATTGCCTGTTCAATACCCTAGCGCTGTGTCTTCTAGCTTTTTTAAAAAGCCCCTAAAACATTTATCCACTCTCCAGAATCATCTTCCTCCTTCATCATACTGTGTTCCTAAAACACAAATTTAATTTATATTGCTTTCAGCCACCGTGAAATCCACCCAAGAGCAGAAGAAAAGCTCAGCTTCATCAGTGCCCACAAACTAAACTCTAAAGTTAGCTTCGCCAATCCAATCCAGTCTATCTTTCCCATGTTTCTGCCCCTACCCTCTCCTTCTCCTTCTCCACTCCTTCCCTCCTTTTCCAAAGATGTAATAATCACTGCTTGTCATACTGGAGGGGGAAGCAGCACAAAGAAATACAGTTTTATATATTTTTATAATTTTATATACAT